GCAGGCCAGGGCCGCATCTGCCCCCCGGGCCTTAGCTCCCCACCCTGCTCTATAGGAGTAGATGTGCCCCCTGGAAGACCGGTGCATCCCTCCGGAGGGGAATGGCTGACTCCTCCGGATCTTGGAAGGTTCAGCCCCCGCCCCCCCCCGGTAAAATAGGGACCGTGACGGCTGGGCCACTCTATCAGGCAATTCAAGGGGTCCTGGGTGAAGACAGCGCTGAAGTAACAGACCTGTCCCCCATCCAGCCTGCCTGCTCCATAACAGACAGGGGAACAGGCCAATCAGACCAACCCATCCAGCCCAGGATCCTGCCTTCCTGCCATGCCAGATCAGACCCATGCGGCCCATCTAGCACCCGGTAGCACCCTGTGGCACCTAACCTGAGGGCTGAGACCTCCTGCTGTGGGGGCAGGGGTGGGTGGAATGGGAGGATGGTTACAGGAGCCGGCATGGCTTACAACCCAGCCCCACTGGCTCCGGGGGGGGCCAGGGGCTGGTGTGTGGGGAGGGGTGTGTGGCAATGTGACCAGTGTTCCTGAGATGCTGCATGCTTGGGCAGCCACTCAGGAACCATTCAAATGCCACCCAGCTGATTGGCAGAGCCCCCGCAGAATGTATTCCTCTTGGTGGTGCACGTCTGCACATGCCTTGGTGCACCGGACAAAATTTATTCCACATGTGGATGGTAAAATTAGAGGGAATCTTGCTTTTCACCATCCTGGCTCCTGCTTTTAGCTCCCCTGGTCCATGGTTCAAGACTCCTATTGTCCCTGGATTAGCCTCTCCTGTAGAAGGGGGGGAGTTCTTTGTCTCCCCCCCCCAAGAGTCTCTGGATGCCCCCCATTTCTTTCTCTTTCCATATCAGCAACCCTCTCTCTTCCCATCAAAGGTTCCCATTTGTACCCACCTCCATGCTGGTCCCCTGACCCCCCATTTCCCACCCCTATGCCAATGGCTTTTGTTCCCCCTGTTCTTCCCCACATGGTAGGGGCTTCTGTGTCTCTCTCATTTCAGGTTCCTCACCCTCCTCCAATCAGAAGTTTGGGGCATTCCCTTCTCAATCCCCCCCATAGCAAGATTCTGCCTGGCTCCCACCCCATTCCTGGGTTTCCCAGTTCTCTCCCCATGGTCAGTTTCCTCCAGTCTCCCCCTCAGCAGCAGTTCTGTGTCTCTCCCAACCCCACTTCCCTTCTGCTCCCCAGGATAGATTCTGTGCCAATATTCCCTCTAATGTTTTCCACCCGTGTGCAGAATGCATTTTGTTCTATGCACCGAGGCCTGTGCGGATGTGCACCACCAGTAGACACACACGCTGCCAGCTGGGTGGCATTTGAATCTCTCCTGGGGCAGCCGCCCAAGCATACAGGGAACACGGACTCTGTGGACCCCTCTTTCCTCCATCCCAGGGTCCCCCCGTCTCTCCAGGCTGTATTATTCCGAAAAACAACAAAGCACCACAACCAGAACAGGACACACCCCTGCAGAAGCGTCTCCCGCCCGGCGGGAGCAGGGAGGGTGGCTTGGAGAAGGAACGGCTGGTGACAGCCGTGCTGACGCATTGCTTCACGCGTGGAGGGGAGGCATTTGTTTCCCCAGCGATGACAGCTGTGCTAGAGTCTGTATTATTATCATACTCATCCCTCTCTCTCTCTCATGTGTTTCATCTTCTGAGCTCAAAGCAGTTGGCAAAGGAGGTCAGGATCATTAGCTCTGTTTTACTGCATGGGGAAACTGAGGCATGGGAGGGGGGGAGGCGGGAGTATGCCATATCCCATGCTATTGGAAGAACCAGAAGCAAAGCCTGAACCATGGCCTGCGCCGGTGCTTTGTCTTCCAGGCCCTCCCGTGCCCAGGCTAGAATCTTGCAGCAAGGCATTCCGCGAGTTAACCAGCCACCTACCTGCCCCTCCGGCGTGACCGACACTGGGATCCAGCCACCGCGCCGCCGGCGGGACTTGGGTGTCAGGGCCACCTGAGCCGTCTTGGCGTTCAGGTTCTGGGCGATCTTGACCTCCACGGCCAGCTTGACGTGGGTGCGCAGGTTGCGCCGCTCGAAGACCCGCTGACACTGGGGGCAGGACAGCAACCCCGACCTCTCCCGCTCCCACTGGCCCGTGATGCAGGCCCGGCAGTAGCTGTGGTCGCAGTCCAGCAGGACGGGGTCCCGGAAGGGAGCCCGGCAGATGGGGCAGATGATGGAGCGCTGCAGCTCTGCTACGGGGCCCCTGCCTTCCATGCTTCCTTTGCCTTCAGCCCCGGCGGCTCCTTCCCCTTTATGCGGGGTGTGGGCAGAAAAGGAGGAGCTTTCCCGGGGCAGGAGCCAGGTAAACATCCTCTTACATGACCGGCTGGTTCTTCCACTCCACCAGCTTCTCTCCCTGGCAGGAACGCAGCAAGGGCAGTGCCGGGGTGTGACTGGTTCTGGCAAAGGCGGCGTGACCTCCGCGGGGCTGGAGCCAGGACGCCTGGGCTCTGCGCCCAGCTCTGGGAGGGGCGTGAGGGCTAGTGGTTAGAGCAGAATGGGCCTGGAGCCAGGACTCCTGGGGTCTAGGCCCAGCCCAGTCACCAGCTTCTCTCCCTGGCAGGAACGCAGCAAGGGCAGTGCCGGGGTGTGACTGGTTCTGGCAAAGGCGGCGTGACCTCCGCGGGGCTGGAGCCAGGACGCCTGGGCTCTGCGCCCAGCTCTGGGAGGGGCGTGAGGGCTAGTGGTTAGAGCAGAATGGGCCTGGAGCCAGGACTCCTGGGGTCTAGGCCCAGCCCAGTTCTAGGAGGGAAGTGAGGTCTAGCGGTTGGAGCAACATGGGTTCCAGCCAGCATGCCTGGTTTCTAATCCTAGCTCTGGGGTGGGGAGTAAGGTCTAGTGGTTAGAGCAGTATGGCCCTGGAGCTAGGATTCCAGGGTTCTGTGCTCTGTGCTGGGAGGGGACTGATGTCTAGTGGTTAGAGCAGCATGGCCCTGTCGCCAGGACTCCTGGGTTCTGTGCCCAGTCTAGCTGTGGGAGGGGAGTGAGGTCTAGTAGTTAGAGCAGCATTAGCTTCCAGCCAGGACTCCTGGGTTCACTTCTATCCCCAGCTCCAGAAGGGGAATGAAGCTCAATGAGTTAGAGGGTGGGGAAAAAGTGCTGGAAGCCACATTTCCCACCCAGCCCTGGAGGGGGAGCAGGGTCTAGTGGTGAGAGTAAAGGGTGTGGGGAGGGAATTCTGGCCTGTTTAAATCTTTGGCTCTGTCACCAGTGTGACATTAGGCAAACCCTGCTGCCTCAGTTTCCCCAGTGACAAGCGGCTTACCGCCATGCTGTCCTGCGTCGGGGGGGCACCGCCCTGGTCTTGGGGATGGGCCAGGCCTGACCCAAATGTCAGGGCAAAGAGCCAGGCGCTCACCGCAGTAACACAAGAAAGAGCTGAGCCCGCAGGCCAGGAAATGCTGGATGGGGCAAAGAGCCGAGGCCAATCCAGCAAGCGCCAGCCGTCTGAGGCGAGGAGGAGACAGATCAAAGCACCATGCCACGGCGGCGCCCATGAACGGCTCCTGTTGTCTGCCCTGGGCAGACGCATGTTCATTGCATTCCCCAGGAGGGAGGGGGACAGATGTTTGCCCCACTGGACCAGGGGAAAACTGAGTCACAGATGCCTTGCAGCTTGCTAAGCCACCAGGCCCGGAACTAGAGCCCTGACACCCAGACCCACACCCCCAGCACGTACGGGGCCCCAGCTGAGATCAGGGCTCCGTTGTGTGAGACAGGCAATTTTCCTCCACCGACCCATGTGCAAACAGTGGACTCGAACAATATATTCAAAATTGGCACGGAGGTTAAAAAACCCTCTCCTTCGAGCCGGAGTTGAACCAGCGACCTAAGGATGCCTTTTAACGCTCTACAGTCCTCCGCTCTACCAGCTGAGCTATCGAAGGGACAGGCAGAGAAGGTTATGTCGTTCTTAGTGGTGTCTCTCCCTCGCTGCATGAACCATCTCTTTTCTCTACCAAAGTACCCAAAAATATCCAGATGGCAAAGCCAGGGCGCCTGGACACTGGGCGGGCAGAGGGAGAGGGCGGAGGAGAGATCGAAGCAGACAGAAGGCCGGGGGCATGCCCCCATGCCCCTCTCTCAGGAGCTTTGTCTTGTATTTGCCAGCGTACCCTTCTTTCCTCAAAAAAACCCCCCTGATTTTTCACACTTGCTCTCTGGCCACCCTCAAGGTGGCAGCATTCCCTGTAAGCTGAGCGCTTGGACGGCCCCCCACGAAAAATTCCAGAGCCGCCCAGCGGATTAGGAGCGTGCCCATAGCCTCCCACCATGTGTTCCTACCTGTGGTGCACATGCCTAGGTGCACGGAACAAAATGTATTCCGCACACGAGTGGGGAAGAAGTAGAGGGAATATTGGAGAGAAGAGGGAATGAGACAGATCAGGCATGAGCGAGGAAAAGCCTGGGACACAGGCATGCCCCGCTGCCTCTTCGGAGCGGAGGTTTGCTGAGCAGAAGGGCACAAAAACTCGGGTCTCCCCTTCATTGCCAGTCCCTTCCCCCCACCGTCATCTCCCTGCCTGCTCCTGCCGCCTTGCCCGGCATGTTCTACTCAAGGGAGTGCGTCAGGGCCTCAGGCACCTCCCTTCGATAGCTCAGCTGGTAGAGCGGAGGACTGTAGTGGAAACAGAGGCATCCTTAGGTCGCTGGTTCGATTCCGGCTCGAAGGAGAGTGGGGTTCCTATTTTGGGAGGGTGATGTGCAGGCGGAAGCTGGAAAGGGGGCTGTGAGCCAGGAGGAAGTGTTGCAAACACGCCCAGAGTTGGCAGAGGGAGGGCAGCACATCGGGTGAAGCGCTCTCAGACACACACACACACAGCACCACACGCTGGCCCAGAATTGGCATGACACAGAGGTGCAGGCGGAGCAATGCACAACCTGACAACGCAAAGCAGTTGCTGGCACTCATGGAGCAGTGCGTAAAGTGACGCACAAACAGAGCAATAGACATAAGGACACCCACAGAGAATGATGGAAACACAACCCCCCCAGAGCAATGCACATGCTGACACACACACCAATAGCATAAAACACACATATATGGAGACACACCGAGAAACAAGGTGATACACACACAAAGAGCAGCGCACACACAGATGGACACACACACCCCAATGGCATAACACAGACAAACACAAGGCAATGCCCACACGGACACATATACACATAGCAATGCCCACACAGATACACACACAAAGAACAGTGTGCACACAGACACACACACATACAGGGGAATGCCCACACAGAAACACACAAAGCAGTACATACCCAAAGAGCAGTGCACATGCGGACACACACACCAATAGCACAACAGACACAGACACACGGCACACACACAATGCAACACACACACAAAGAGCAGTGCACACCTGGACCCACGCAGAACAATGCACACATTGACACAATCACAGAGCAACGCAGAGAGACCAATGCAAGCCCAACCACACTCCTCCAGAGCAATGTACACACTCTCGTACACACTCTCACTCACACAGAATAGCAGCACAGCGACACAGATGCAGAGCAACGCACACGTCAAGAGCAATGCCTACACCGAGTAACACACACACGGACACATTCGCAAACACACAAAGAGCAATGCACACGCACACACGCTGCATAGCAACACACACTGGCAGAGAGATGGCCATGCGCAGCCCCAGACGCACACACGCAGAGCAGCACACACACCGACAGCCACACTGGCGCCCTCACAAGCACACGTCCCCCCAGAGAACCCGACAGCGTCACCACACCTACACACATTGGCACCCATCAGGGAATACACACTCTGGCAGCATTACGCACCCACAGACTTTCTGGCACACACGATGACACGCCCAGCGACAATAGCACAGGCACACAGAAACACTTGCAGTGTGTGTGTTTGTGTGTGTGTGTGTGTGTGTGTGTGTGCACAAGGGTGTGTGATAGGCTATAGAACCAGCGCCCCCTAGTGGGGAAAGGCTCCCACCCCATTTTCCCCCCTTCCCCTCTCACCCCGAGACCCCTGGCCAGGACCCCAAGAGGGCTTTGACCAGTCCCGGCGTCCCTTATGCGCAGCACCCAGCACCAGGCCTCCAGTGGGGATGTCATAACACGCCAGGCCGTGCCAGGCTCGATTTCGTCATCAGTCCCCAGGGGCGACGAAAGTCGTGGTGGCATCTGGTCCGGGACATTCCCTCCTGCATGTTCCTCGAATTCTTCCTCCCGACAGACCGGTGGGGCAGGGAAAACACACTGAGCCGCTTTCTGATGTCATCAGTCCTCGTCAACAGTTCAGGGGAGCCGCCGATGGGGACCACTCCCCCACCCCTCTGTGGCCAGCGCTGGGGGACTCCCTCTGCCTCCCCCAGGACCTGACATCCCAATATGGTAAGTGGTTCCCGGGGTTCAGGGCTAGATCTGCCTAGATCTGGCCCCGGGGTTCAGGGCTCTTCCCCCCAGCATTGGGGAGCCGGCACTGGATCTCCAGCCCTTGCTGTCCCCTGATTCAGGGGTTCCCCAACCCTGCAGTAGAGGCGCATGCACTAAGCTTCCCAGGTTCCCTTACAGACACACAGCTATACTCCTCTCCCAAAAGAGTGTCCCAATGTGTCACATTCGCTATCTTTTCTGCTTGTGTTTCTATGGGTGGTGCACATCTTGGCACAAAATTTATTCTGCACCTGGACTGGAAAAAAAACGAGGGAACATTGCCGGTCACCCTCCCTCCTTTTTCCCACCATCTGCAGCTCCACACTCAGTTTGCATTACCCCATCCTAGTAAAGTAACTGGGATAAACCCGCCCCGAGATCCAGGCCCTCTGTCTCATCCCCTGCCCCCTAGAGAAGGGCTACACAGCTGTCCCATGGCTCGCCCATTTGACCTCAGGCCGAGAGGAGCGTGAGAACAGCAATGCCGGGTCATATGGAAGGGGCGGGCCCCCCCTGCCACAGAGCGGGGTGAAAACGTGGGGCGAGTGGCAGTATGACACATAAGAAGAAAAGGTCTGATTTCATGGAAATGTCGAAATCTCAAATGTTTTGGCCCCCTGGCCCACCCAGCTCAGCACAGACCTGTCAGTGGACCACCCGCCAGCCACCCTGAAGACAAAACACACAGCAATGCCACACACAACCCCCCCCAAATAAAACCCCAAGGTCCTGACTCCCAGCTAGGGTTGCCAGTGTCTGACATGTATTTTCTTTTCTCGTCAGACTGCTTGGGACGTTTTTCTCCTGCCATGTCTGCCAGGGGGCGGAGGGAATGGAGGGATTTAAAGGTGCAGTGACTTTTTCTTTTTTTTTTGCTCAACAACTT